CACCAAGTGACTCCCTGGCATCAGCAGGACACCATGAGCTCCTGGTGTTGGAGAGAGTGTGACCCCTGGATCCCCTCCATAACAGGGGTGCAGGTCAGCAGCACAACACAGGTCATCACCCACGTAACTGGGCTTAGCCATATGGTTGTGAAATTGGCCATCACTCCCCCAGACAACAAACCCTATATGATTTTTTCACATCTCTCCCATTAAACCAGCATCTGACTGTCCCTAATATATCTCCATAAAAATCTTCACAGCTGTTCTAGCAAACAGCCTGGAGTGCTGTGGGCTTTTATGAGTATTAACTATGTTAAGCAAAGCAAATCTCACAATTACATTGTCTGTGGGAGCAGCAAACTTCTCCCATCAGTCTCCCTGAGCGAGGAAAAAGGGTGATTAGTGTCCTGTTATCATCACAGTCGTGGTTTAAGATGCTTTTACCAGGAGCAGGATGACAGCCCTTGCCCAAAGCAGCTTCTTGTTCCTGCTGCTATCATCGTAAGTAACCTGATGTGCTTGACATGTCATCAAATGTTGCTGAGCAGCATCTTCCTTTGAATAATAATTTAAAAAAAAACCACATTGCTGATCTGTCTCATCCTTTGTTTTTGGTTTGTTTTTTTTTTTTTTTTGGCATGGATTTGGCAGACCTTGGTCTCATCCTGTTCCTCCAAGCAGCCACAGTGGGAAAAGCTCAGGACAGTCCTGAGCAGCACTGAGCTGGGGCTCTGAGCTTTTGAGATATTGGGAAGGGAAAAGGATATTAAAGAATATAGGGGAGTCTGTTGAACTCTTGCAGAGCAAAGAAAGGACTTGGTTTCTTGCTGTGAGCTCTGGTTGTTGCTTTAGGGGCTGCACATGGCAAAGCCACACAGATCCCCAGGTGCTGGATATTCTCTCCACCAAGAGCTCCCAGCTCTATAAGCTGGAAAACTCCCTGGTGACTTGTGCCATGGCCCAGAAAATGCCACTTGGTTGGGGCATACTTGCACATAAATCTCAGCTGTGCAGTGTCTCTCCAAGAGCCTCTCTCTTGTGCCTCTGCTGCAGGTGTGATGCTGCTGCATCCCAGTGTGGGCAAACAGGGCCCACTGCTCCAGTGTGAAGGTGTGAGAAGTTTCAATGGGGGGGGGGGGAAAGGCAGGGAGGGGCTGGCTGATAGTGATTGTACTGGAAAATTGGATTTCAGGCAGTGGGAATTTAAGTTGAATTGTCACAAATGGAGTGTGGAAATTTTGCCTCCCGTTAGAAACCTGTGTTTCTGTAGGGATAGGGATAGCAGAGCGGGGGAGAGAGTGCAAAAACTCTCCATCCAGCTCGCTGTGGTGTGCAAAAGAAACCTTTTCACTCTGGCAAAGCAGAGGGGGAAGGTGTTTTGAGAGAGTGCTGGGGAAAAAAACAGTCCAGAGCAGTGGCAGTATTGGCCTAAATTACAAGTATCAAGGTCTGACAGGAGAGAGGCTGTCCCAAAATGGCAGGAAAACATCCCATAGGAGGGCAATGTCTGTAGAGCCCCAAGCCAGGTTTTCATCCATTTTACTAAAAGCCAACAAAAAGGAAAACAAACCCAATTGCTGTGGTTTTTCCCTCGCTTCAGCCTCTGAGTACAGTTCCTTCCTTAGGTGTGCTGAGGTGATCCTGGCCAGCCCAGAGATGATGAGTGCTGCTTCAACAAGGGCTCCTTTGGCCAACCCCCAGTGTTCCTCCCAGCCTTCAGTCCCTAGGACTTATCCAAAATAGCTGTAATTTTCCCTCTTTCCCTTGCCCAGCCCCTCTGGGGGGGGGGGCCAGCAGAATCCCAAGGATTTTCTTTTGAACACAGAGGTGCTTGCCAGGTCCTTCCAGGCTCATTTGATGCCAGAGATCAGTGGGGCAGATTACCACTGTTTAATTACTAATTTACAGAGCTGCCCTGTGTCCTTGGCCAGGGCAGGGAATCCCTGTGCTGCTGTCCCCAGGATAAGTGATCCCAGAATAAGGGACCTCACAGGCACATGTGATGCTTTTAGTACCTCCCCCTCATCCATCTCCTCTTTCCATCACCGTGTCCACTTTCTGCTCCTCCCTATCCTGGGATAGGGATACTAATGACAGGTGTTTGGTGATTACTTTTTTTCCACATGACCTCCCTGGGAAGCTCAAGAGGGAGAAGAGACCTGGGGCTGCTGGTAGGAGGAAGGGCAGCTGTGGCCATGATGGAGCAGCCATGGAATGAATGGGCAGATGAACAGGATGCAAGGAAAAATAAGCTTTTCCCCAGCTGGCAGCACCCAACCAGCCAGTCCCACTTGGATCACCCTTGGCTGAGTGACCCCTACACCAGTTCAGTGCAGGGATGCAGCCAAAACCCCATGGGAGGGGTGTGGGGTCCCCAAAGCCTGGCTGGGAGGCAAGGTTGGCTCTCCTGAGAGTGAGCAAACCTGCTTGTTCCTGTCACTGCCAGCCTCCCTCCTGTTCCCAGCGATGGAAACAGGCTGGCCCTGCAATAAATCCGGAGAAGGTTGTGTCTGGAGACAGGTGTGGGTGTCCAGGCAGCACTGGCTTCTCAAATGAGGTGATTAACAGGCAGCCACAGGGCAACAAGAGAGAAAATAATCTTCCCCTTTTCTTGCCACCCTCATCTCCAGAGGAAGCTTTTTGTTTAAATTATAATGAAAAGGGGTATTTTTTTGCTCTGGGAGAGCAGAGCAGGCTGTTGCGTGGAGGCTGCCCATGCTGGGCATCCCTGACATTGGCAGGCACTTAGAGCATCCCATTAGAGAGGGACAGGTACTTATTTCATCTTCAAGTGCAGCTGGATACAATTATTGGCATTTTCATTGTGTTTGAACCCCGGACATTTAATGGCAGCAAATGAGCCGACCTGGTCCCTGCTGGGAGCAACAACACACCACCTCCCACTGGGCTCCAGGAGGCAGAGAATTAAATCTGAGATGGAGAGCACAGGGACCCAAAAGCTGTGGGAAAGTATGACAACCTCAGAGGGTTGCCAGAAACATACCACAGTTGGGATTACAGCCTTTCCAGCCGGGACCGCGTCTTCAGGAGAGACATCGGCTTGGGAGATCTTCAGCTCCTGACCAGAATGGGCCATGACTTTTATAACCACAGGCCTGCAAAGGAAAACACAGATCCCATGTGTGCACAGATACAGATGGGCTGTTCTGTGTCACTGTGTGTCCTTGGCTGGTTACTCCTGGCTTTGAAGTTCTTTGCAGTGTGGAATGACTGAGGTTGGAGGGGCCCTTTGGAGCTTGTCCAGCCCAAAGCCCAGCTCAAGCAGAGTTAAAACATCCCCACTCCCAGAGCACTGCTCCTCCACTGCCAGCAGAGCTGTGTCACCTGAACTCTGGCTCAACAGGTGGAGTTGGATCTGTGTCCAGAGCAAAAGCCTGCTTCTTCCTGGCATCCTGATGGATTCACGTGCTGGCTAGGCAAAGGAGGAGGCATCATGGAGCACACGGACCTTCCCAGTGCCACAGCCTGCCTTCCCAGGTCCTGCCATGGAGGGAAGCAGCAGCCCTGGGGAACACCCTGTCACCCCAGATTCTGGTACAGGAGCCATCAGAGGTGTCTTTCTCCAAGCCCTTCTGTTGTGGTTTCCTGAAGATGGATGTGAAATGTTGCTGTAGGAACTGATCTGCATTTGAAGAAGTCTTTAATGAAGTCGGGAGGTTGCTTAAACACAAATAACAGGCACCCTGAATGGTCTGGTTAAGCCCAGCCCTGTCAAACCGGTGGCCTGTTGAACAAAGGGTCCTGAGGAGCATCTTAATAAAGTGAGGGCACTAATAAGTGAAGTGAATACATCTCTGAGACTGTTAAACATGAGACCCCAGCACTGGGTTGGTTACAGCTCAGCCCGTTTCCAGCCACATAGGGACCCTTTCAAACAGCCTTAAGCCCAAGACTTAAGCAAGAACTTGCCCATAATTTCATGTCTGTACACACTCTCATCTTTGGAATGCACTGGAGGCACAGATTAGAACCGGTGGCAGCCGAGGGGTGACATTTCGGAGCAGCACTTGAGCCACAAGACACTTGTCAAATGTCTTTGTGCTTCCCCAGTGCTGTGAATGCGACTGCCTCGAATTGTGTGTGTGCTGCTGGCTGTGACAGTAATTCCTGGCACCAAGTGATGCAGGAGGGAGAGGGGAGGAAGGGAGGGCTTGCAGGGGGTCAGCTGGCAGTGGGTATTTGTGGGGTTTTACAAGGGGGGGGAAAGGACTTTAAGGTCCCTTCCAACCCCAACTGTTCTGTGACTGGAAAATAAGATTCTTGCTGACCTGCTGCTCAGCTTTGATATACTGTGTAATAAGGAAGCCAAAAAAAACCCCAAAACAATAATGAGCAGATTAAAGGAATTACCCTTGAGAAAAAAAAATAGATTTCATTAGAAAGCTTATTTGAGAGGTGAATTATTTTGCTAATTTGATGCTACAGCTCATTCATGGTTAATAGCCCCAACTGCTGGGGGGGTCCCTGGGGTTACCTGGTGATGCAGCACGGCTGCTGTGGGGGATGAATTGGCTCTGGTCCCTGCAGCTCAGTGCAGGCTCACCAGGCTGGAGCAGCGAAGGCTGGGCTGTGTCCTGATGCTTGTCCTCATGGTCTTGTCCAACTAACAGGCAAAATTAAGGAGAAAAATTAAAGGGCAACTAAAGTAGAAACAAGCCGAGTGCATCGTTGGGGCATCCGATGCCATTTGTTGTAGGGGTTGGGTACAGAAACAGAGAAGGAAAGTTCTGAGGCCTTTTTTTTTTTCCCTTTAGTGTCTGAAGGCATCCAAAAAAGTGAGACAAGTGATGGGTGTGGGGCAAAGGCTCGGCACTGAGCAGCTGGAAGGAGCATTGCTGGGATTTCGGCAGTGCTGTGGCCAGAGCAGTGAGGGGTGGGGGCTGAGCACCTCCCTTCTCCCGGGGGCTGGGGCAGAGCTGCTGCACCCCGTTCCGAACCAAAGACGTATTTATCTCTGTTGCCCCCGTGTGTTTTTGCAGGTCCGAACTGCTTTGCGGGAACCACGATAATTCCCGCCGGCATCGAGGTGAAGGTGGACGACTGCAATATCTGCCACTGCCACAACGGGGACTGGTGGAAGCCGGCGCAGTGCTCCAAGCGGGAATGCCAGGGCAAGCAGGCTCTGTAGTGGGACCGACCCCCCGCCAGCGCCAAACAACCCGCTGGGGACGATGAGGAAGGAACGGCCTCGATGCTGCCCCCGCGTCCGACCTCCCGCCACTGCAGCAGGGTCACCAGCAACACCTGCGAGCGTCCCGCACAAGCAGAGATTTGTGCCCGCGGGGAAGGGTCTCCCTGTGCCCCCTCCTGCTCTTCTCTGGCTTTGCACACTGTGTATCTGGTGTCTAGGTATCTCCTCTGCTTTTGTAATTACCAGTGCTTGGGAGGGATGCAGTGGTCAGGTTTGGGGAGGAAAAAGAAGAACAACCCACCCAAGTCCTCGGACTGGTGATGCCTTCGAGCCGACGATCGATTCACCGCTCTCACTTTCTGCGATGTGGATCGTGGGGTTTTTCACATTTATTTATTTAAGGGTTTTTTGCTATTGTGATTTTTTTTTTTAAAGCCTCTTCCTAAGCTGGGATCACTGGGACAATACAGCTGTGAGTGAAGCGATGGATGGAGCATTTTTATTGTGTCTATAAGCGGGAGTGGCACTAAGGACTAAGGAGGGAGGTAGAAATTAAAAGGGGAGCAGGGTGTTAAAAAAAAAACCAACAACTGGAATGTAACCTGCAGCAGGACTGAGGTAGATGCACAGGTATGGACCAGACAGCCAAGACACAAAGCTGTATCTGTGTTACACTTTCTCCACTGAGTGGGGACAATAAAGTTGAAGACACTTACACAGTCACCGTGACCTTGATGGGAGCAGGAGCCCACCCTGGCTGCCTGGGCAGGGCAGGGCAGGCAAACAGGCAGGAGGGGCTGGAAAGGCACCAGGAAAGCAGCGTCTTACCTGGGTGGTCTCTTGTGTGAGGCCTGGCTGGGTGTTGTGGTGAAGGATGAGGGTCCCACCTGTTCCCAGTTCTCGGGCTGAGTGTGTACCCACCTGCCTTGTCCCATCCCTTGGTGCCAAGGCTGCCCTTGCTGGAGCCAAGGGTCACACGTACCTGATCCCCACAGGTCACACGTACCTGATCCCCACA